CAACAAGTTTTCATTGAGGAAGAACAAAATACTCTTCCAAACGTCAGCAATTTCACACAACCAGCAAACAGCGAGTCCCTTAATCAAACAGAAAGGGAACCCATGCAGACTGTGGCGTCTTACCTTTCCAATTTCACATAAAACGCAACTGGAACATCTTGAACAAAATTATTTTTCACTATTCCTATGTATACTATGTTGTAAACTGTAAACCTACGTGTATTTTTCCGTTCTTGTTCAATAAAAATGTTTGTAACTCAAAATGTGTACAACTTACCTTAATGTTAAAGCCAAACGCTCCTCAGGTGGTATAACTTCTCTGAAATTCGACCATTTCGTTATTGAGGGCTGAATAGCCATTAAAGTATACTGAAATGTCTCCATGTTCATCCTATAGTAGTCGCAAAATTTTTCCCCGTTTCTCTTCAACTCCTCATGTAGGTGATGGAATTCTCCCAGAATTCTTCTTTTGATTAATATGGGACTGACCCAGTACTTCCTTCGCTTTCGCTGCATTCTTCGCCTCACGAGATATGGATTTTCCAGGAAATACAGATCATCATCCATTTTGTAACAACAAACACGCGGTTCACTGGCGATACAAGGCCACACTGACGGAGCGGCACTGTGTCGGATGTAATTCGGCTGCAGTGGACGAGGTTTTAAATCGGACGACCTGGTCGGCCGTATACGGGCCACGGAAGATACGGTTCCAGTGGACGACCAGGCTAACACCGCCTGGTTCTCAACTAACAGAAAATCCACTATCTTTGTCCAATGCAACAGTACCTCGTCCAAGGAGGAAGAGAGTAAGGGAAGATAATATTGAAGTAGAACAGAGACTCTTAAGACATTAAGGCTAAAAAGCTTGCACTCCTTCAAACGCCGGAAGATGAGAATTCTCTCCTTCTGAGATGATTACTGCCAATTTCAAAAGAATGGATCCATTTCAGAAACTACGAGTTAGAACAAAATTTCAAGACACACTGCTGCAACAAATGTCATAAAGCCAATCGAGCAGATTCCAGACTTCCGGTACAAGTTACCCTACTAAGGCTTCCACACACCAGAGCGATCGCGGTGGCGGGCGCGATGGCGGTGGCGGTCAGATATTTCCGCTGAACTTATAGACCCTTTCCGACAGGCAGCGATCTTGCGGGCAGCGTTCTACTCCGCGGTGGCGATCAGATGCAGCTTGTCGAGTTTGACCGCTGCCCGCGTCACTGTGTGTTAGCTTGAACAATGAGTACAACAGAGCAACTTATTGAAGAAGTAAAATTACATAATATATTATTTGATTTGTCGCATCCTGATTATAAAAATATAAAAAAGAAATATGACGTCTTGGAACAAATGGCCAGATCGCTAGTAACAAGCGGTAAGTTCACACATTTTCCATTTATTTTCATCAATTATTTACTATTTAATCTATTATGCATAGTTGTATACAAAATCATTTCAACGGAACAATTACACACGTTGTGTTAAGTAAATACTTAAACACTGTAATAGTTTTCTTCATATTTATGTTATGACAACAGACAACAATATTTAATATACAAATACTGCCCTTGTAAATAAGTTTTTTTATGTTAATCAAGAAAGACTACAGAAGGCGGAGTAAAAGTACAACTTTTTACATATTGAAATACGCAAAAAGTCTCTCACGTATCTGAGCAGATAAATTAGTTGCCCTTCTTCCTTCTAGTTGTAGGTTTCCAAGAGCCTCTGCTACTGCTTCTTGAGGTTCTAGTAAGTGCTCGAACCTCATGCCAGAGTTTGTTGAACGCAAATAATTATGTAGAATGCATGCGGCCTTTACAATAGATATTGTAGTTTCCACTTTCACCTGAATTGGCCTAAGAAATATCCTCCACTTTTGAGCTAAAATTCCGAACGCATTTTCTACAACACGTCGAGCTCGACATAGTCGCTTATTGTAGATCTCCTTTCTGTAGTCCTGTCTTGGTTGTCTGTATGGAAAGGGGCGCATTATATTTGGGCGTAGTGGAAATGCTTCGTCGCCTATTAACACACAAGGAGTAAGTTCATTCTGACCAGGCAAGGACCTATCTGCTGGAATACTGAATGTTCCATCAGCTATCTTTCTCCCCATAGCCGATGCTTCAAAAATACCACCATCACTATTCTTTCCATAACCACCTACGTCTATACAAATAAATTTGTAATTGTCATCAACAATAGCCATTAAAATTATCGAATATTTTTTCAAATAGCTAAAATACTTTGAACCAGAATTATTTGGGCACTTTATGGTAATGTGTTTCCCATCGATGCTTCCAAGACAATTAGGAAACTGCCATGTTTCATTAAAACCTAATATTATTTCTTCCCACATTTCTTTTGTAGGTTCAGGCATGTAAGTAGGCTGCAAACGTTTCCAAATTGCGTCACACACTTCCTTAACAATATCACTAACTGTAGAAAATCCCATCCGAAAGCTGTGGCCTATTGTGGTATAAGAGTCACCAGTTGCTAGAAACCTAAAACAGAAAATATAAACGAAAACATTTTTTCTCTTACGTGATATCTGCTTGTGTGCTTTTCAGGTCAGGAGGTGAAGAAGTGGAAGAACCTAAGGGACTGCTATGCTAACACCTAAGAGCTGAGAAGACGCGTACAGGACAAGCAGCAAACACTCTGAATAAATATAAAACTTGGCCATGGGCCCAGCAGATGTCATTTTTCAGCCCTTTTCTACAGTTTGCAAGTACAGAGTCAAATATATCCAGCCCAGATTCTGTAGTTAATTCTGAAGTAGCTGAATCTGAATCCATTCTGACTAAAGAAAATGAAGGCACTCAACAGGCTGAAGTCATATCATCACATCTTCAACCTGGACAGAAAAGTTTTCCCAGACCAGCATGTCATCTATCCTCTCGTATTCGAAAAAGGGAGCATGGCGGAGAAACATCTCCCCAGCCTTCTTCTTCAGTAGGACAAATATTGAATTATTTGGAAAATAGATCGATCGAAACTCAGCCTATGATGATGGTTTACTCTGTATGGGATATGCCAAAACCATAAAAAAAATTCTCACCAGTAGTGAAATTTAAAATTGCAGAAATATTAATGCAAGAGGAACTGGCACAACAAATGGAAGATGCTACCAGAGCAAAATCTCACTGCAGTACGCCCAGTCCAGAACCTTCAATTTATGATTCAATATCACCAGGTAGCTCACACTATACGCCTAGTCCAGGACCTTCAAGATCAGAAGGTTACTCAAAGTATAGCTCCGAAAGTGACATACCTTCGCAGAGCATAGATCTTGAAAATACGACTACAGCTGCAAGCTGGCTTCAAGTGTTTGGAAGTGTTCATCTACTACTGTGTCATCAGTCCAATCAAACTATTCCAACATTTCTTCACCCACTTCTCCTGCCAAATCAGCTTACTCCAATAATCCTCCTTCAGTGTCTGATCATACTTGTTATTCGCATCTTACTGCTTCACCTCATGGCACAGATATACCGTATTTACGCATGTACAGGTCGCGTGCGTGTATAGGCCGCAGCACAATTTTCAGACAGAAATTATAGAAAAAATAATTTTCTTGGAATATTATTTCAGGAGTAGAACACCCTGTATTATTAATTATGAATATACTTTTTTTTTAATGAAGTGTGATTTCGAATATAAGCCGCACCCCAGTTTTCCTCTTGAATTTTTGGCAAAAAATGTGCGGCCTATACATGCGTAAATACGGTATTGTAGGCACAAAACAATGAATCCAGTAAGATGCACCTTTTACATTTGTGATAATAGACTGTACTCTGAAAACTGTTAAATAAAATATTAGAAATAGAATAGTTACTCAGTTACTTAACTCAAAGTTAGCAAAAGTCTCTCTTCCACAGAAATAGGTTTTTGAAAGCTTGTTGTACAATGATAACAGGAAACATGTATTTTTTTCCACAAGTCGAAGGTATTTATTTTCCTTCTGGTATACTGGGTAAATGCCTTTTCATCTGCTCGTAACTGGGGGTACAGATGATGAAATTCACCATAAATCAACCTATTCCTATATACGTGTATTACACGAGTCTTTTGTCTGATACGTTCTACTCGGGAGACTTTTCTACAACTGACTCGCACGCAGCGATTACATGCACACAGTAACATTGCCCACCTCCAGTTTCCCCGCAAATATCTGCGATGCGTTAATGCGGTGCGGTGTCCGCATTGCACGTACTAGCATTCACCTTGGACATGGCGCAAGACTATCGAAGAGCACTTGCGGCAGGTCGTCGCATCCCACTAGAGGGACTGGGATGAGAGATTACCCTTCTTTCTCCTAGCTTACAGGGCATCCACTCACGACACTACGGGCTTGACCCCAGCTAGCCTTTCACTTTTCCCGGGTCGGTAGATATCCCTCCTGGTGATACAATATGGCCGAGGTACCTGACTTCTTTCTGCAAAAGTAGACACTTCTCCGGGTTGAGTTTCAGGCGGCTACTATAATATCGTTTCAACCAACAAGAAATAAAACTTACTGAAGTTTAAAAGTGTAATAAGTTTGAAACTCTGCGACATGCAGAAACCGAGGGCAATACTAGACATGAAAGAAAGGATCCATCACCACCAGCGATATTTATCCCAGGAATCACAAACATGCAGTGTCTAACAGCTACAGCTGAACATGTAGTTAACAAATTAAACTACGCTTAAAAAAATAATAAACAATGGCACAATATAGATAATGACAAACAAACTTAACTATCGCAAAATAATGACGTATCAAACGAGAAGAAAGTTCAGTTCCACACACACTAACCTCGGCAACATGCTTTCAGAGTGGTAACCAGAAATCTACACTGCTCAGTGCAGCAGGAATTGGAGACAGAAGAAACTGAACGAATGGGACACAGAATTAGAACCTATGGAACATCAGACACAGGGTCAGTGGGTACTCATTGTCCCTCCTCTTAGATATCGAACCAGCAGCCAACAACAGTGAAATATACCACATATAATCTCTACACAATATGACGGTCCAATCTGAGCCACCTCAAAAGCAAAATAATACACCACAATGCAAGAGATGTTATGTAACCGCACCATGCAGGGACCTCGGGAATGTTTTTCATTTACATTGTTTATTACCATGCACTACATGGACACGAAATGTAGTACTGTTAACAATAGACGATACACAACTGACTCCAGCACCAGCAGACGCAAACGACATCCGGTCTTTCTGAGGGACAAGCAAACTGCAGGTCTCTTGAAAACCCAGAACGGAGCAGGAAGTATCCCGCTGTGTTCTCTGGGGATTTCAATGCTTAACTGCGGGGGTTCGAGCCTTTGAAAATTTGAGACTTGACAAGAAACGAGTCGCAATAATTTTCGAAGGGGCGTACCGAGCGATTGTTAGCGTACCTCCATTTATTTAAGAGCTGTCAGAGGGACCGTGTTGTACTTAGGCCCAAATTAACATGGATCTGGATAGGGATTGGCTGAATGCAAATGAGAGAAACACCCAAATTTTAGGTTCAGCCAATCAGCAAAATTTCAGAGGAGAGGAATCCAGGCGTTCCCGGAACCGTCGGGACTTCTGCCTCTCCAGAACAGTCAGTCATCAGAACGAAATAAGAGTAGTCGGTCAGTACAAGGCAATAAGAGCAGTCAGTTATTGCAAGTTATTACAAGTCAGTACAAGTCATCAGAAGGAAACAGCGGGAGTCATTAGCCCAAGGGAATAACCGGAGTCAGTAGTAACCTCCTGGACGTTAAATCGGTGTTGGCCCCAGTCCAGTGTACAATTCAAAGTGCTATAGCCGGGTAATAGGTAATTGTAGTGAACATCTACAACAAACGCAACATTATTGGTGAAGTGCGAGTTGTTTTCAGTGTTCTCTCTCTCCTTGTGTGAGCAAGGCCCAGAAGTCGCCCTGAGACAGAATCTCGTCCTACCTTCTGAGCAGTCGCAACCCCAAACGTCCGCCTATCCATATCCCCACCTTTGTTTTCCCCGTTCCGAACTCGTGGATTTCACCCAAGTCCACTGGCGCCCATAAAAATTCAAATTCAGAGCAATCCCACACCCTACCCTGAACCAGACAGCTACAAGGAAGCGGCGGATGAAAGTGCAGACAACAAAGGTGCGAACGTGAAGGGCAGGTATAAGTGACGACCAACTCGTGAGGCTTGAAGTCTCACTGGGCGGTAAGAAGTGGCACCGAACGTGTAGGCGAACGGTAAGAGCGGTAACAGTTAAGTGTACTTCAAGCCAGGGGGTACTGCGCACACAGACCTAGTTGCGTGGAATGTGGAAAATCACATGGTACTGAACAATGCACTCTACCAAAAACACAACCAGCAACATACCTATATTGTGGGGTATCGCATCTGGCAAGCTACAGAGGCTGCAAACTCTATCAACCAATCATACACACAATATTATCTTTACTCTGAACATTAGCAAGTATTCACTTTACAAATATAATGAGACAAGAGACTGAAAGCCCTGCTGCATCACAGAAAACCAAAAGACCGGAAATGACATATGGCCAAGTGACCAGAAATAGTATAGAACCCAAAAGATCACAGCAAACAACACACAAGGACTGTATCCAATTTTACTAGTACTGCAGTTCAGTGGTGTATATATGTTAATCGTGTATTTGCCTGATGATGGCTATTAATAGCCGAAACATGTAGCAGAGCCAAAAGTAGGCACTGGTCTTGGTACTAGTTGTGTTGTGACGGTTGTAATAAAGAGGTTGTACAAGGAGGCATCTTAACGAAACTTATGCTTAGAGTCCTTCACATGTTTTGAAACAATCTTGTCCAAACAAGCTGAACATGTGAGCACATTCATGAATCTCCTAACCACGCTACTTAGTGAACTTGAAAAATAATTCATGCATACAGCATAGTAGCATGGAGTGCAAATGGGCTGACCAAATACATGAAAGAAATCAAAGTATTTGTCAACACCTAGAAAACAGACATCCTCTTGGTGTCCGAAAACCATTTATGGAACAAAACTATGTAAAAATTCCAACCTATACCACACATGCCCAAAAGGGTAGAAGAATGTGGTCTTGTGGGCCTGCATCTTGCTGACAGATGTGTACTAACAAAACACAGGAAATGCCATGTATTCCTACCAAGTCTTAAGCACGTATGTCCTTGCCATGGTCCCTGGGTAATGTGTATATGGCTAAGCCACGCATCAATATGCAGTAAAACGGAGAACCAGATCACAAAGATACAGACCCATAACAACCTCCAAAACAGGACGGCACTACAAGTAGCACTGCGGTCTCCTAAACTAACCCAGCATTTAGTTACAACAGAAGAGGCATAAGGCCATGAACTACTTGTACATGCCCACTGTAGCAGTGAAACCTTAAATATTTAAGTTGGCATATATATTCTTAAAATACCATCGAAAATCCTTTAATTATTTTTTTAAACATTAAACTATTTGGTTTCCTCAATTCCTGCACAGGGTTGTTTATAGATTTTTGTTAGGACCTGAAACATGGATGCACCCAGCGAAAACTATGGCTGTGACAACTACTGCAACCGCTACTATTCAACCCGCTTAAACGGAAATGAACACATGTACCGTAGTGAACATTTACCACTGGGCTGTAATGCAGTACATTCATTCTGGCAGCCAGGAGGTGTGAGTAAACATCGCAACCGCCAATGTACATTATGGGATGAAGTTTCCACGTCATTGGGAGAACCAGTCTGGTGGTGGTCAGAAACCACAACGCTTCTTTCAGCAAGAAAATCCCTGTGTACAGCCTCCAAAAGCTAATGCGGAGAAAACAAGGGCACAAAGAAAATGCATTACTACTTCAACCTCCAGAGATAAGCAGAAACAACGGGACTTATGTCTTATAATATTAAAAAATAAGCCATTGAAGCGTTTTCAGCTCGAGAAAGCAGCTTCCTATGGCTACACGAGTAAACCTGCAAAACCAGAGCCTATCACTTGGCCCAGAGGTGGAGCTAATGATCTTCGAGCGCTCATTCTGTCTAGAGAGCCTACCGTGACTCCATAGTTGGTGGTGATGTAAGTGCAAAGCAGTTTAAGAATAGATATGATGCAGAACATAATGGTATCACTTCAGGAGCTATGTTTCGGACTATGCAGAAGACACGTAAATCACATTACAGTTTTAAGGAACACAGAGTTCTTTCTGGTGATAAAGTCACTCTGATAGTTCAGAGAAAAGTGGATTCGAACAACAATGGTGACACTTCAACAGGACCCGTACGAGTTGGACATACTCAAATTAAGAAATATGCTGAAATCCAGGGACAAAATAATTCTCCAGAGCTGTGTACCTGATTCGGTGCTGGAATCCAAAGAATAAATACGAAGAAACAACACTGACACAGAATAAACCAATGAAACAAATGAGAGCAGAGGGTGGCTGCCGTCCGTGCGTCCTCTCCGCAGACCCAGAGACCCCATTGAAGTGAACTTGATGCGTGCCGTCTTCAAGCAGAAAGGAACAATTGTGTGATGTTCGGGCACCGTGTCAGTCTCTTAAGCCCAGTGATGTAGAGGCTGTACTTGGTTGGCACCGCCCCGCAGGATAACATATTGGGTCAGATTATTTTGTATGCCAGTTCAGTTTTGTGGACGGCATTAGGAAGACTTATCAAGCATTCATTAACACCGGTCGGATACGCTTTCCTGGCAACCAAACGTGCAACAGAAATTCCTCTGATTCCTTTGCCTCCAGACAGTTTCGGGAGTGAGTCAGAGAGGACGGAGACGAAACAAACCTGCTGCCTTTGTATACACGATCAGGAGATATCAAAGCTGTTGAAAGCATTTTGTGGCAGCTGAATGAACGCTGTGGTCCGCACATGAATGCAGGAAGAGACAGCTTCCGCATATACTCTGTCTGCAAACTGATTCACCAACTCCGGAATGCAAGCATGGGTGTTCCAAGTGAAGTAATTTTGCCTCCCAACTTCTTGGCTGAACACGAGCTGATTAACGGCACCTTGGAATTTACGGAGGGAATCTCATGAGACTTCCACGAGGAACAAGAAGCAATGTGATACTGCAGCCTGTCGCGTGTGCAGAGGTGGAGTTTCCTCATTATGGAAGAGTGCTGTGGGCCGCTGACGATAGAAATTATTTCAGGAAAGCAATGAGATTTAAGCACCCATCTTACCAAGAGAGCAAAAATTCAGCAGAACAGAAGTCAGTGAGTTCTCGGAGTGCGAGACAGCCGCGGGAGGAAGAACCGAACGCGTAATTAGAAGATTTTATGAGTGATAATCAGTGATAGTTTGTGATAACTGAGAAGGCATTGGGTCTTGGGAGTGGGTAATTCAGTGACACTAGTATAGCTCCCGTGTTATACCCTAAATAAGCAAAGACTACTGAAGATAGAGTGAAGAGATTAGTGTGTAAAGGTGCTTCCACATTAGCGCGCAGAGCTTCGAGCCGAAACCTGTTGCAAGCATTAAACACGTCCATAGTTGGCGAACATAAATGCGAGCCGAACCTCGTTGCGCGCAAAATACACTTAACGCGAGCCATCAATTTTCGGTTTTTGGCCGTCACATCAAAGGTAGTTCACGGTGTAGTTACACATTGCAGTGGACGGCGTGGTAAGACGAACCTAGAGCTGACAGGCATAGTCGGAGCAGTATCGCTGCCCGCGCAATAGGCGGCCACGACAGCCACCACTGTCGCCGCGGCCAGCTAAATACCCTTGTGTACTATATGGACAACCGCGCACTTAGCGACAGCGGCCAGTTGACGCGGCGTTGGCCGCTACGTAGAGCGACAAGTCAGCGGCCAGCTATTCCTATTGTGGCAAATGGTCAACGGCGCACTCACTAATGCCAGCCGTGCGACCAGCCTTAATACCCGCCAAGCTGTAAACATTCTTGCTGTTCAGTTGTGAGAACGATCTCATCATGGATATTGACAACGTAAAGTTCATCGAAGAAATTGAAAAACGGCCGGCAATTTGGGATATGTCACGGAAATCCTACAGTGACCTCAATATAAAGAAAAGAGAATGGCAGGAAATCATCGAATTATTTGGAGGTGACAGGTGTTCAGATAATAAAGGAAAAGAAGTCCTGGGTAAGTGTCATCTTATTTTTTTATTCATTCGTTATTAATGTTCATTATTACCATTAGTGTCTAATTTTGGAACAGAAAGTTTACTGCATTGTTTAAGAACAGGAAATTCACGGTCATTTTCACTTTGTTGTACATTCAGTACTTCAATTTCGTTGTGTGCCTTGCGAACTGAAATTCACATTGAAGGCATCACACACATTCATTTTGCCATGGAACGCTCCCTTCACCTACAAAATAATCTGCAAAACAATCCCTAACAGAAAAACCATTTCTGTTTGGCCTTGCCCCACAGTTCTGAAAATTATTAAAGTCGCAAGAACCTAAATCTTCTTCAATCTGCTCAACACCATCACGATCACGAACAAAACTGTGTAGAATGCAACAACATTTTACTATATTCATAGCAAAATCAATGTCAACATTTAAAGGCCTCTGAAAAATTCTCCACTTGTCGGCTAGTATACCGAAAGTACACTCAATGATGCACCTCGCTCTACACAGTCTATAACTGAAAACCCTTTTTCTGAAATTCAAAGGACTTCCAGAGAAAGGGCGCATTACTTTATCTGTCAAACCGAAGCCTTCATCTGCCACAAACACACAGGGAATTGGTCTGCNCGCAAGAACCTAAATCTTCTTCAATCTGCTCAACACCATCACGATCACGAACAAAACTGTGTAGAATGCAACAACATTTTACTATATTCATAGCAAAATCAATGTCAACATTTAAAGGCCTCTGAAAAATTCTCCACTTGTTGGCTAGTATACCGAAAGTACACTCAATGATGCGCCTCGCTCTACACAGTCTATAATTGAAAACCCTTTTTCTGAAATCCAAACGACTTCCAGAGAAAGGGCGCATTACTTTATCTGTCAAACCGAAGCCTTCATCTGCCACAAACACATAGGGAATTGGTCTGTTATCTGAGCTGGAAATTGGTCTGCCCTCTGGTATATCTAATTTATTACTCTGAAGTTTGTTGCAAAAGAGTGATTGATGAAAAACCCCATAATCGGAACATTTTCCATATGTACCGACATCAATGAATGTAAATTTGTAATCAGCACTAGCAGAAGCTATAAGAACGATAGAAAAATAATGTTTATAGTTGTAGTAGAGTGACCCACTGTGTGCTGGTTTCACAACACGTATGTGCTTTCCATCAAGAGCACCGACACAGTTTGGAAAATTAGTCACTGCATTATATTGTTGAGCTGTTTTTAACAACTGATCTCTTGTAGGCTCAGGTAAACATATTGCTCTCTGATTTGTCCACATTACATGGCATACTTGTCTGAGTGCTTCTCTCAGTGTCATTTCACCCAGCCGAAATGTGTGATGAAGGTCTGCAAATGTACATCCTGTGGCCAAATACCTAAAGTGAAAATTATTAATTTTATTTCAGGCATTTCTCTTCAAAAGAAGTGCAAAACTTGCGGGATAGTTTCGCAAGGGAAAGGAGACGCCTTAAAAACACTAAAAGTGGTTCAGCAGCATCCAGAAAATCATGTTACATGTTACAACAATTTGTTATTTTTAAGTAGAGCTATAGCAGTGAATGAAACTGAAACAAATGTATTGCCTAGAGAAGATATCCAGGACTCTTCGGAGCAGACTCGTGCTGAGGGACCATATGCTGGCTTTGCCGATCTCACTCCAAGAAAAGAAGAGTAGAAGACCCAGTGGGGAACGAACTGGTCAGTATATTGAAGGAGGCCGCAGCGGCAAGAGAGGCACGAGAAGCGCTAGAAATAGAAGAAAGGACCAAAAGACGACGATAAACATTTTTACTACTCTCCTTGCATAACGACCTTGCAAGTGTTCCTAATTACTTGAAACTGCAGACTAAAATGGAAATAATACAGGTGATGCAGAGGGCGCAGAAGTATCACAACTCACATTAACACTCGCAGCTTTCAAGTGGGACACCACTATCGTCCACCATCCTTACACAAAATCAGCAGCAGGAATATCTTCTGGGCTATTTTATTCAGTCTCACTTCGTGCAACAGCCACCAAATGATCCCCGCCCATCAACTTCCAGCTGCCACACCCCACAATCAAAGCCCACAATTCAGAAGATTTGTACAGTCTCCTGCAGAAACACTGGCAAGTGACACATCAACGCAGTCTCCAGCAAGTGATATAGTGAGTGTGTACGGTGATGTGTACGAATGAAGTCCTGTTCAGACATGCGTACGAAAAGAACACTATACTTAATCATATTGCAAGACTTTAGGGGCACGCTGCTTGTTGTTATATTTTTAAAATTTTTGCTTACCTCAAGGTGACTAATAACTTCTCTTCTGCACTGATGCACGGCCTCATTGTGGTATTAATGCCAGTAATCAGGGGCCTTATTGTATCAAGCAATTCGTCATGTGATTTGATAGACATTCTTGTGTAACTGAAGAACTTCTCTTCATAAGTTCTCAGTTCTATAAAAAACGTAGTAAACATTCCTTTTGTTTACCTGGAGCTTAAGAGTGGATGCACCCAGTACTTTCTTTTGTACCCGCGTTTTGTCCTATAATACAGATATGCAATAGCTGCGATCTCTTCGACTTCCATTTTGAAACTGATGACGATATCGGTCGCTCGTTTGGCCGCACGTTCAGCAGCTGGCCTCGCGACACTGGTCGCTGTCGTGGCCGCCTAGTGCGCGGGCGGCGTATGAGTCGTTGAGGTTCTCACATTTTCCAGACAATCGGACCATAGATGACGGCAAGTTTGTCATCCTTACGTGCCGGCCGCCCTTTACCTCCAAGGATATTTCAAGAATATTCCTGGTACTCATTTCTGTTAGAGACTGAGTTGACCCCAGGGCCATAATGCGGCTGGAAGGATTAGGTCAATTGAAAAAGATCCAATGACCTCTTCGGGATTTGAACCCGCAACCTTCCGGCTTGTAGCGTAGTGCCTCAACAGTGTGTAGAATTTGTAAATTGTGTAAACCCGCAACAGTGTTATAATTAATTGTAGGTTAATAAAAGAAAATAACAATCCGAACGGTGTCCACAGTAGCCCAAACACGTTTCAATATATTCAACGCATTATAAATTTGATATATGGCATACCTTTATATATATTTTTTATCTTATTTATGCATTTACTACTTTAATTATAACACCAACTTGAGGCAGAAGTTTTATGTTAGTATATAACACGACGTGTTGCACCGATAGGGATCCATTTCGGTAGTTCAATTACTGTACGTATTCCTATATATTGTGACATGCTGCGCAACAAAGGACCCCTACCTCCCCAGCGGCACGTAGCGGTAACGTACCGCTCGCGTAATAGGCGAGTCATCACCCCGCCAGTCTCCCCGCGGTGACGTCACGAGCGGAGACGAAGTTAGCCGAGTCCCCACATCCTGGTAGCTATGCAACGCGCGGTTACGCGGAACCGCTTCCTACTGTGACGTGGCACGCAACAGGCACCACTGCGGATATATAAGGGAACTGCACAGCAGCTACCAGTGAGTTGTAATGTGCTACGGCAGAGTTAAGTAGTAGTCGAGCGAGTGCGTTATCTACAGTTCTCAAGGCAGCTACCTACGAGTTAGTTCCGAGCAAGCCTACGAGTCAGAGTGTGTTATCAACAGTCCTCAAGGCAGCATCTTGCAAGCAGAGTTAGAATCTAGCCAGCGGCGTGTTACGAGTGAAAGTGTGTAATTCAGGAAGACTTGTATAGCTCCCACGTTATTAATACGTGAAGACTCTTCAAGATAGTGTGAGGAAATTCTGTTGTAGGGTTTGTAAACTGTGGAATTAATTGTGGCCGATATTTGTAGATCGTTCAATAAACCAATTAACGATCTCTACGGCATATTTCGTAACGAAACACGTTACAATATATATATATACACAACGTATGTCCAAAAAGTATCCGACTTTATTTTTTTCCGCTGTAAGTAATGGTCAAAGGGGTGGGGAAACTGAGTGTAGTGGTAGAAGGGACTTTCATGCGCATGCGTGATTTTTTGCTGACTCGCAACACTGCCGGATGCGTCTGTGGCTGCCAGATATCGAAGTGGTGTAACACGTGTTCGTCGCATTCTCGTTTCGCTCAAGACAACAGAACGCTTGGAGCAGCGATACTGCATTAAGTTTTGTCAGAACTTACGAATACCCAAGCGGAAACAATTCGCAAAATTCAGCAGCTTTTCAGCGATGATCCAATGGGGGTCACTCAAATTAAAGGGTAGTTCAACCGCTTTTAACATGGCCGTATGTCGGCGGACAGTGGGCAGCGTTCCAGAGACCGTCAATGCTGATGTCATTGAAAAAGTGCGGACACTGAACATGGAGAACGGTCGTTTGGCCATCCATGAAGTTGCTGATGAGGTTGGGATCAGCAGAGGTTCCGCAAACACAATTTTAACTGAGGATTTGGGCATGCGAAGAGTGGCGGCAAAATTTGTGCCCAAGCTGCTTTCGCCGGAGCAGCAACAACTCCGTCTTGAGGTCGCGCAGGACATGCTGGAGTGCGCCAACAGGGATCCTGAGTTCCTGAAGACTGTGATCACTGGTGACGAGTTGTGGGTGTACGGATATGACCCGGAAACCAAGGTCCAGGCGTCACAATGGAAGCATCCAACATCCCCGAGGCCCAAAAGAGCACGACAGGTTCGGAGCAATGTGGAGGTGATACTGACTCTTTTTTTCGATTACCGGGGTGTTGTGCAACATGAGTACNATGATGATTCTATCAAAACAATTACACAGGTGAAAGCTGAGGACAAACCATTGAAACAATTGATTGAAACAGCATTAGAAGAGGAAAGTGCTCAAAAATCCAGAGAACAATTCAGATCTTATAATGTAAATCAGGGCCGAACTAAGAATGTAAAAGAAGNCGGCATTCCGCAGGTTCGCCAGGCTCCCTACTCTCCTGACATGGCTCCTTGTGATTTCTGGCTGTTCCCGAGATTGAAGACACCGCTAAAAGGCTGCCGTTTTGACAGCCGCGAGGACATCATACAGAATGCGACGGCGCAGCTGCACGCCGTTACAAAAGAAGATTTCCAGAATTGCTTCCAGCGACGGAAGGACCGCTGGGCTAAGTGTGTGAAGTCACAAGGGGCCTACTTTGAAGGGGGTTACATATACAGAACTTTTTTTTCCCGGCCCAAGGTCGGATACTTTTTGGACAGAGTAGTATTTGTTTTGGCTCATATAAAGGGGGAAGCAAAAACAGTGTTAAGCTACCGTACCATTCCACAGGAACTTCAAACATGAGAGACTGTTAAGGATAAATTAGAATTAAACTACGCGGTACAACGAACTCTCGACTTCTACGCCAATAAATTGTTCACAAGCAAACAAATGCAGAATGAAAACGTGACTGGATGGGGAAACAGGATAGAGAAAATGACCTCTGAATTGACTAGGGCCCTTAACAGACAAATGGCGACTTGGTCAGTAGAAATGCAGGATGGGGGAAATAAAAGTTTCATTATTGAGCAAATGCTGTTTCATTCAAGGACTTTATGATGATTCTATCAAAACAATTACACAGGTGAAAGCTGAGGACAAACCATTGAAACAATTGATTGAAACAGCATTAGAAGAGGAAAGTGCTCAAAAATCCAGAGAACAATTCAGATCTTATAATGTAAATCAGGGCCGAACTAAGAATGTAAAAGAAGTATACCACCCACAGAATGTACGAAGTGTAGGTGGCACCTGTACCTCTTCTGTACAGGTAAAGAGGGAACCAGGAGTAAATGCAACTGCGACGGTTACTTGCTTCCGTTGTCAGAAGCCTGGTCATATGTCAAGGGACTGCAAGGGCAAACCCTTCTGTAAGGTATGTAATAAGGGTGGACATGAAACCAGAGACTGCAAGGGCAATCCGGGAAATAGACAGTAGGACTGTCTGAGCAACCCAGTTTCAGTCCATTTCATAAAGTTGAAGGTTGCAACTTTTTAAACGAACTGGTATGTAAGGAAAACCTAGTGGATAAAGGAACAGTGAACACGGTTGTAGTATATCTTTTATGTGATTATTTACCTAAAGGGTATGAAGAGGCATTGATTGACACAGGATCACAAGTCTCGTTAGTTGAACAAGATAGTTTAAAATATGCTAAAATAAGAATTTTGCGAACAACAATTGCGAATTTTTGAAAACGGACTTATAATATTTAGGCCATACTATAACGGCTGATGGAGTAGCCCCAGATGCTAATAAAATAAGAGCAACAGTAGAATTTCCAACTCCTAAAACAACCACAAGTGTAAAATCATTTCTAGGGCTTGTAGGATAATACAGAAGGTTTATACCGAATTTCAGCAAAAGGGCTAAACCACTTAATGATCTGTTAAAGAAAACTTAAACGTTTAAATTGGAAAGAGAACAAGAAGATAGCCTTCGAGATTTGAAAAAACAAATAACAAAACACCC